AAATGGGATAATCTCGTCCATCATTGGATGGCTGTTTGAGTCATTTTGCGCATCTTTGGTGTGTTTCTAGACATGCAAGTTTCTTAGAACAACTTGGAAATGATCGGCTAACTCAATAGTCACTTTATTACGTGACATAACCTTTCATATGGATAAACTCAACAATCCAATAGTCACATAACCTTGTGATTAGAGATGTTCTTCCAATAGTCATATTATTGAAAGACACTCTTTCAAATTTGAAAATACATCAACAAAATTTTTAAACATAAGAATTTATATATAAAAAAATCTGAAAATGTCATATCACAAGTTAAGGTCAACAAGTAACCAAAAACATAAGGGTGTCGATCTAGAAGAGTATCTAAAAGATTTTAGATCTTGAGGATACTGTACCCTACTATTTTGGTTGGTTTTTATATTCAATTTCTCCATTGTTCATATATGTATACGCCTCCAAACCCCGGAGGCTAACTCACACACTCAAGCATTTCCTAGACAAAGCTAGCATAAGATTTTTGGGATTGAGTATTGTGAAAGATGGCCAAATTTTCTTTCACTCACTTTCTAATCCTTGCCCTCCTTGTCAATGGTTTGCTTTCTTTTCTTTTATCCCTCTCCAACTCTTACTTATTTGAGTTTGAAACTTAGTAATCTTTTGTTTTCTCATTTGATCGCTTATTACATTTTCTTGCAACTATGTCAATGGTACCTTAAAACTGATGCACAAAACCATGCCAAGAGACATTGTATCCATCCAACTGCCATTGAGGATTGTCAAAACAAGTGCCTGGAAGCTCATATCCATATTTGCTTCAAATCTGTCGAATTTTCTTTCATATTTGGACAAATTTACTTCATATCAATCCCACAATTCCTTGGATTATTTCTCTCAATAGGAATTCTAAAAGCTTTATGTAATTGCTAAATGCTTATGCAAAATTATAGGGTCAACATTGAAATTGCTTTGTCATGGCTAAGTCATATGCTCTCACTTGTTTTCTCATCCTTACTCTCTTTTTTACTGGTCTGCTTTGTTTATTCCTTCTAACATCCAAGTATTTGATTCAATGATCATCCATTTTAATCAAAGAGTCCAGTTAAAATCCTTATGGTTTTATTTTTTTACTTGGGGTTTGAAACTTAATTTGTTTTGTTTGATTTTTGTTCTTGCAGTTGTATCAATGGTACCATAGATTGATGCACAGAAGAGATGTGTAAAGATCTTGGATCCAAACCATTGCGACCTTAATGAATGTGGAGCTGTGTAATAAACAGCACAATGGACAACAAGGTACAGGTCAATGCTTTGAGACTGGAGGAACTCCTCTGAACCCAAGTTTCGGGTTTTTTATAACCGTGTTGTTTCATTTTTTTTGTTTCTCATCTTCGTATGATGTCCTTCTAAGCAAGCAGGAGACAGTTAATAAAACGTGAACTGGTTTCATTCCTATGTTACTTTCATGTTATTCGACAGGATTTTAAGAAAAAACAGTTGATGCCAAGCAATGCACTAAATGAACCCCAAGAATCTAAGATGAAAGCTGAAAAAGAGGTAAAATAGCTCTGGTTGCTAAAACCACACAACAGATGTCTAGACCACATGGCTCTATTCTGCTTCAACATTCAAACAAATCTCAAACTAAAACAAAAACAAGAACATGGGTATATGCTCATAAGTAGACTTGTATAATGATGTATTAACATGAGTGATCCGTCTGCAAGCATGGCCTATAACATAGTTGAGCAAGAACTGGAACAATAAACCCTCATACCGTAGCTTTGCCTAAACACAACAGAGCAAAGATTGTCATGATCCGACCTTAGGCTTGCTAGACGGAATCACCAGAACAGTTTAGCCATGGAACCTAAAAATGGGAAAACAGCAAACAACAATCTCAACAGCAAAGGTGCATCACTTGTATTTCTTTTCGTACTCAACTTGCCCTTCTCGTTTGTTGTCTTTTTTGAGCTGCTTGCCATTGTTGATGACATTCTTATCGATCCCATTCAATCTAGCTCATCCCATCCACCAAAGCTGGGTGCATCTTGGCCACCCTCATTGACAGAACCATCATCACTAACTACCCATGATTGATAACCCTTCATTCCCTTTCTGCTCTTTTAATATTTTTCACAGCGCAAGGAGGTGGATTTTTTGTTTTTTTCCTCAATAACTCTGTATAAACTCTGTAACATATCCTCTCTCAATAACTCTGTTCTGTTAAAGACAAGTAGAAGCTTGTCACAAGGAATATGCTGTTTGCATACTAGAAAAAAAGAAAAAGAAAAGAAGGTTAAGTAAAAAATAAATAGAAAAACCAAAAAGAAGGTGCCACTCTAATTGAAGACTATCAGCTTCAAGTAAGTGTATAGGCCCAATGGAAAATGCTCATACACCTAAATTTCTATGGATCTTGCCAGCTTGGCCTTTCAGTTCTATGGTGTCTTCTCTGACTTGAAACTGTTGTTCCTGACCCTTTCTTTGCTTTAACATCAAAATTACAGTCAGCATCATCCTTGGACTTTCTTGTCCTCACAGGACTTCTGGCAAAGATATGGCTTCGGGTCGCGTGTCTGTTTTGAACTGTAAAATGATTCTTCAAAGCTGTGCGATGTTCCCCTTTAATCCTGTTATTATTCCCAATCACTGCATCGTTGTCTAAATAAAAAATTGCAGAAAGGTATGAGTTAGAGAACTTCATGGTATGTACACAGAGAAGTGCAAACACATCAAGTAAATGTTGCAGCAATTTTTGAGCATTAAACCAGAAAAGTAATTATTTGTTGTTTCTGTGTCCTCCATCTCAGCCAATTAAACATCATTACATTCAAGAAAAACCATAAAATGTGAGTCCTTCATCTTAAAGAATCATCATATAGATTATTTCATGATACTACATGTAGCCCAGAGCTCCACCTGCAATTATTGTTCTATTTAATGCATTAAGTTTTCTAATGATGCTGCAAAGCCTTTTTCATAGACCGATTAGCTCATTTCAAAGCACTAGAATAAATTACACCAACACTATAGATAGCAAATCATCGCTTAAATTGTATCCTGTTATTTTTCTGAGGCTTTAATATGATTTGTTCATTTTAAGAAATAGCATCAAAGGCCCAAGGACAGGAAATGACCACTATCGATATCTAAAGAAGTGATTATCAGCAAACTATCCATCTTCTAATGGATGAAATGAGCAAGAAAAGTTTTAACCTCTATCCTATCATCAATAACAGTATGAGTATCAAGAAACATTGCAGCATACATTTCAGAGCCTCAAATACAACATAAATGTTTCTTGTAGCCATAAATGTTTCCTGTAGCCACAGAGCCATACAGCACAAACAACTTCGATTCTGTTGAAGGAAGAAAAAAAAGTCTAAAGCTCCATCTAAGAGTGAGTTAAAATGTAGTTACCAGGGCTAGATATGACAGCCCGAGGACGTGGAGTCAAACTGACTCTAATATTTGGTCTATCCTCCTCATCAGTTTCTTTCTTGTTCTTCTCAGATTCTGCAAATCAAGTAGACTAGATTAAATGAATTCAAAAATCTTGTACTGAAGCAAATTAGACAGTTGCATAGAACGAGTAGCATGAGGGTAAATGTCTACCCGGAGGTGCAGAATCTGAAGGCTTCTCTACTTCTGGCGCATAAGACTCTGGAATTCTGGCTTTAGCCATCGGAGAAACATCCTGGGGTGTTTTCACTGTCAATAATTAAAAAAGCTATTATGACCATATACCAACCGATCATCAACAGATTGAAAAGAAGATTCATCATAGCTTTAAAATGTTCCGAAAGTAGGCATACCGACATCGTTGTTGAAAATTAGCATGAGAAAGTTAAAAACTTGAAACATGTAGGGAACTTCGAATCATTACTACTGGTTTCATGAGTAGATCAAACATATGATCATGATCATCCCTCAAACTTTATCCTTAAACAAAAAACTTTTTAAGCAGGCATCTTTTGCCTTAGGTAACAAACATGAATATATATATCAATCAACAAATTAGAATCTTTTTTCTGTTATGGTCATAGATAGATGTCTTCAAAAAGTAGAAGTTCCAAACTTTGACCAAATATCAAATTAATCAGAAAAATGATCAAACACCCGCCACCCCCTGAAAGCCAAATATGTTGACAAATGATTCCATGCTGCTAAAATGCATATCCAAGTTTTAAAGGAAGCTGACTTACAGAACAATAAAAACTTTAAGAAAGGATGAAACAGAAAAGCACCAGCAAAGCAGAGAATACCTGGAAAATAAGAATCAAGCATGGAGAGAAACAAAACATCCTTCAAAGACAACACAGAGCTTATCTTGTTATCATGCATAGCATATTGATCATCTTGGTCTTGTTCTCTCACCTTCACCCTTGGATACACTAAAATTTCCAAACAATAATATAACCCCATCTCAGAACAAAATCAAACTATCAATAATCAAATCTGCAAGAGAGGTTAAAAATGAAAAAAAAAAAAAACCACCAACTTGTTTTTATCTGGTTTGACTTGTGAGAGCTTGTTCTGCTGTTGACAGCAAACTGTTGAATCTCCCTGGCGGATGTTTCCGTTTAGAGCTTATCAATTAATCAAACAACAAACGACAAAAATTGAAATTTAACGGTATCCAAAGGATCTTTTGTTCTTCTTTGGAGGAAGGGAAAAAGAAGTTTGAAACAACTTGGTTTTTCGATGTTGCTAAGATTCACCGGGGTTTGGTCAACTTTGTGTCTTATACGTTTAAATGTTGAAACAACCTGGTTTTTCGATGTTGCCAAGATTCACCGGGGTGTGGTCAACTTTGTGTCTTATACGTTTAAATGGGAGAAAGCATCACGCTTTTGTGTTGGGAAATGAGGGGAGTTTTGTTGAGTTGAGTCGGGTCGAGTCGAGTTGTCGAATGAGCAAATGCTAAATGGGACCCACTTCCATATATTTGTCAGCTGTTGGGTTTGATACTCTGATTTCAGAATCGGATACGCCTGCCTTAGTTGACCTTCCCATGTTCAATGGCTCTCTCTCGTTCTGTGCTTTCTCTTCTGTTTTCTGTCTCTTGGGCCTTGGCTTCCACTTAGAGGCCACATCTCCATTGCTCGCCGTGCTGCACACACGTGGTAAGACCTTCTGTGGCATAATTTTAATTACCCAAATAAAAAAGAAAAAAAATTCAAAATGTTTCTGCCTAATAATGGCTAAAACAAATTACCACAGTTTAACTTCTACAGTCGCCATTGTCTTGTGAAGAAGCTGGGCTAAAACCTCAGTAACTTCAGGGTTTAAGCCCTAGTAGAACTTGGCAGAATCAGGGTTTTTCTTCTTTCTGTTGATTCTTTATTAATGTGGAGGAGAGCGGGGTTGAGCTGGAGATGGAATATGCACCGGCGGTTGTGCACGGCGGCACCACGCCAAATAGTGGATGAAGGTGACTGGTTTTACTCATCTGAATGGTGGGGGTCCGAATCCGAATCCGAATTCAATGGAAACACCGTCTTCCACACCGTCTCCGAGAAAGGGAACGGCATTGTCTCGGTCCTCGCTTACCCGTCTTCTAGACCGGTCAGTTTCTTTACATCCCTTTCTCTTTTTTCCTCATTTTTGCATCAACTTTGATTGGTTTCGGAAACCTTTTCTGGGTTTCCAATTGTTTTAGGTATGCAAATTCTCTACCATTTTCGTCTCGGGTTTGAGTACAGTAATTAATTTCTTTCGGTGGGAGTACTTGTAATTTAGAGCTTTAAGCTGCAGCGAAATTCTTTTCTACAAAGTGAATTGGTCTTTTTGATGTAGAGAATAGATGATAAGTTGCTTTTAAGTTTTTGCAGAACAGAGTTTACTGGCCAGAAACAGAGAAGTGGCTTCAGCAAAGATATGCAGAGATTGATCCAGGTTATGAACATAATGGACATTTTAGAATACTCGGATATCAATGGCGTGTCCTTCGCTTTAATGATAATACTCGCCAAAGTACAGTTAAAATAATGGCTGCTTACCGGAAAACTGAACCTGGCTCTATATGCATTATGCAGCAGGCACAATGTCTGGCTATTCCATGTAAATTGCTCCTTTAGTTCTTTTTAAAATTTGTCTTTTGTCTAATGTTTCTTCCAAAGATCTACTTGGTGGGTCAATTTTCATATTATTTTCGTTCTCATACATTTGATGCTCTTATGTATCCAGTCTTGTGTTTGCTCCACTGCTCCTCATTCAATTTGTCTTCTATTCAGCATCATATTCTCTCATTTCTTTGCCGATAGAATTTTATTGAGCGTCACAAATCTTAACTCTGATGGTAGCTCGTCAGGATAGGCACTTTCTCATTATATCTCCGTTTTAGTTTATACTACCTATTCTATATTTCCTTATCTCTTTTTGAGTAGCTTATCTGTCAAAAAAGGAATATTGCTTCCTCATCTGTATCTTCTAATCTCTTTTGACCGATTTAGGACAGGGTGAGCTCTTTCATGTCTACTTAGCTGTCTTTATTAACATCCACATCAATAAAAGGATGCTGGCAGGAATGAGTGGTGTGTTCCTGTGAAAGATTAATGATTTGAGAAGTTATAAGTTTCTACCAATTTCTATATTTCTTGGAATAAACCACTGGACTAACTCAAATTGTCACACATGCATCCACACACTTTCTTTTGTGAAGTAATAGAATGTATGTTCTTAAGATGTAAGCTAGATTGCTGGAAGAGAATGTATGTATTCTTTCTCTTGCATTTTAATGTTTGCTTAACTAATCTTATGATACATTTGATGGTACTGTTGCAGATGTCAAGAGTATGGTGTCACTTGGATTGTCTACTATAGCATCTTGTAATTACGATCTAATGGCTGCAGTACATGGGAAGAAAAGGATGCATATTCTATGCATTGGTCATGGTGGGGGAAGCTTGCCATTGTTTCTGGCTAATAAAATTCAAGGTAGAAGTTATCTTTTCGTTTATAAACCTGTTTGCTAGCTCAGTATTGATGGTAGTTGAAAATTTTCTTCTTTATGAGCAAGAAAAAATTCAATCAACTAATGTGCACCAAAGACAGATTCCTCACACTCGAAAGTATGGGACACCACGTATCTTCTCATTTAAGCCATGTATTTGGTTAATACTTTCCTCAAGTAAGGTATTCCTTAGTCTAAGAGGTGAACAAATAATTCGGTTTTCTAGATGTCCTACTGAATTGATTGAGTTAAATCATTGACATGCATCCACATCAACTGACCTTGGATTCTCTGCTTCTTCCAGGTGCCGTGATCCATACAGTTGAAATTGACCCCATTGTCATTGCAGCATCAGTCCAGGCAATGGGCTTCCCAGCTGTCTCTGTCATGACCCCATCAGGCAAACGTGCCTTGTCAAAACCTGATATTATTAATGAAGTAATGTGGAAGGGCATCCATGAGAGGCTCTACCTCTACGAATCAGATGCTGAGAAGTTTGTTGTAGAGAACAACAATCTGTACGATATCATCTTCATTGATGCTTATGATGGCGATGACATCTTCCCTAACAAGCTATGGGATCCACATTGCCCCTTTCTCAAGTCTCTCAGTGACCAACTCCACCCCAAACATGGCACTGTGGTGCTGAACCTCCATGCAGACACCGATATCTCAAACCCCAACGAATCCATTTCATACTTCTACCAGCGTATTCTGCCAGTAGGAAAGTATGTCTCCAGGGTTTGCAAAGCATACAAGGACGTCCTCATAGGGAACAAACAAACATGCAGCAATGGGAAAGCCGGGAGTGGTATAGGATTCGCTATATCAGTACCTTGGGTGTGCAACACATCTCTAGTTGTGTGCAGAGGATTCGGGTTGAGTAGTGGCCTTGTTAACAGGGATATGGTAATGAATACCCTCATATCCAATTCTGTTAAAGTAGAACATATGTTAGACTTACCCTTCTCATGCTTGCATTATATAAAGAGAGATTTTACCCTCGTTTGAGTAATGCTTGGGTGGAGGCAAATCCAAAAAGCCCATTACGAAACAGTGTGAATGTTGAAAACAAGCAAAGGAGCTAAATTTTATTTATTTATTTTATAAGCCATAAGCATTTCATTATAAGAGGTTACTTCAATTCCTAACCCTCCAATCCAATTACACACAAGTGTGGCTGTCACTCCATAGCCCTTTACATATCTCTTGGTCCAACCATTCATCCGATTTTCTTTCCTTACAAAAAGACAATATCCTCATGCGGTCCCATAAAAGCAGCCCATAGCCATTTTGAACGCATTCCCAAACCCACCAAAGAAAAGCACCTCAGCGACAATGAGCAAAATTTTATTGGGCAAAGGGTTTTAGGAAAAACCCTTCTCTTCGTCCTCTGTCCTCTCATTTTTACTTTTATCTTCAATTCCCCAAAAAGAAAGAAACATGTCCTTCTCTGGGCAAGGCAAAAGGCTAGGCTCCGGCGACAACGACGACATGGGCATCGTCGCTAGACTCTTCCGCGCCGTATCGGGCTCCCCGATAACCGACGTCACCAAGAGAGCGGCCAACGACGCCGCCTACGTTACCCAGAAGCTGTTGAAGAGCACGGGAAAAGCCGCCTGGTATGCGGGAACCACGTTCCTGGTCCTCGTTGTCCCACTCATCATCGAGATGGACCGTGAACAGCAATTCAATGATATGGAGTTGCAGCAGCAGAGCCTCCTCGGCTCACCCCCTCCGCCCTCCCCTCCAAAGTAAAAAGGAATATTCGCTTCTACGGTTTAGTTTGTGGGCTGTTCTAGAATTTCGTATATTGATGCTTCATTGGATTTTTTTGGATTAGATTTATTTTGAGGATTGTATGAGATTTTATTGTTTGAGAAGTATTCAGTTTCATGATTTCCTTGATGGGTATTGCTGGAATTTAGGAAATCATTGAAATTGGAGCAATGCATAGAAGATTTGCTTTGATTTGCTTTTCAAATTTTTGTTGTTGATAATATTGCTTTATAATGAGAAAATGAATGGGAAATTAAATAAAAAATGTAAAATACATTACTATCAAGTAAATGGGTGCCTTAAATATGATCTGCTCAGAGTCAAGAGATCAATTTAGCTCTGAAAATGACTGCTTTTAGATTGTTGGTACAATCAATGGTTTGAAGATGCCAGTCATCTGGTTTTGGAATGAGAATGCTTGAGAATTGATGGAAACTTGGAAGTTGAGTTGAGGTATTCCCCGGAGAAGGAAGGTGAAGAAACAGGGCAGCTTAAACAAGTTCAAAATTGGTTGTTTTAAGTCTAAATGAGAAAAAAGGTGAAGACTTTTATAAGTTACCAAAACTCCCTACAAGTACAACTACCATTAGAAAAGTTATGGTATCTGTTAACATCTCTTACAATGATCTGCTTCTCTATCACTCTGCTTATGTACTTAAAAGCCTCGTGACAGTCCTTACAAATCCGCAGATTCTTTATGATCCTCAGAGGCTTCCCTGGTGGTGCTGCATCACTCACTATCCCATATGCTAAAGCCAACTTCTCACTGTGGTACCAAAGTGCTTCTCGTTTCTCCCCTTTCCCTACTTCATGCAACATCTCATGCCAGACGGGTTTGTACCCTAGTTTCTCAATCTCTTCCATCAACTCCGCCAACTTGGTGTATATTTCTTCAGTCCTCTCATGCTTCCTATCCCCTGCCCAAAACACATGAACCTTCCCCTTGACTTCAATCCAACTCTTCCCGCCTTCCTTCTTCACCCTCCTATCTTTCATCAACTTCCTCATTTCTGCAACCTCATCCCATCTCCCTGCAACTGATAAGACATTTGCAGCTATCACATAAGCTGAATCATCATCAGGATCCAACTCCAACAACCTCCTAGCCATTCTCAAAGCCATATCTGCTGCACCATGATGAGCACAACTTGACAGCAGCGATCTCCACACAGCAGCATCAGGCTTAACCGGCATTGTCATAGCAATCCTCTCCGCATACTCCAACTGCCCAGCTCTCCCCAACGCACCCACCAAACATGTATAATGCTCAAGCGCCGTTTATACCATACTCCAGTTTCATCCTCTTCAACCACATCTCTGCTCTCCAACCAAACCTGCATTGTAAAAACTCGAAAGCAGAGCCAGAAAACTATATTCATCAGGCACAAACCCTTCACTCTCCATCAACCGAAACAACTCAATCACTGAATTCTTATCCCCGTGCTGTGCATAACCTGCCATCAAAGCATTCCACCCGACAATATTCATCACCTCAATATTCTCATCAAAAACCCTTCTTGCATCCAAAACAAGCCCTGCTTTCCCATATCCATCAACCAAAGCACTCCCCACTATCACATTCTTATCAAACCCAGTAACCACCGTGTGCCCGTGAATCATCCTAGATTGCTCCAAGGCAGCCAAATCCGCAACAGCTCTTAACGCCCCGGAAACACTATACATAGTAGAACCCACATTGCAAGATTTCATTTTAGCAAACAAAGACAAAGATTCAACTGGCTTAGAATTCCGCGCCAACCCAACAATCACTGCCGCGTAACAAACTTCATCTCGTTCAGGCATCTCATCGAACACTTTCCTTGCGTCCACCGGAAGGCGATGTGCGGAGTAAAAATTAATCAATGCGGAACCAGAAAAGGGCTGGGTATTGAGGGAAAGTTTAAAGGAAAGAGCGTGCAAAGAAAGGCCAAGAAAAGGTAACGCGGAGGGAAACGCAGGTTTTGAAAAGAGAGGCTAAGGTACGTTGGTTGGGGAGGATAGGGTGGCGAAGCATGGAGAGGAAAAAGGTGAGGGAGTGTGGGGAATTGGAGTAAGCTGAGATGAGGGAGGTCCATGAGACGATGTTGGGTGATGGGATTTGATTGAAGACACGGAGAGAGGAAGCGAGGAAGTTGTTTTTGGAGTAGAGGGTGATTAGATTGTTGTAAACGGACCGATCGATGCGTGGGGATTTTAGAGCTTGGGCATGGATGATTCGTGGGTCGGAGTTGGATTCTGGTTTCCATGTCGGGTCTCGTAGTAAGTTCATGGTAATGGCGGCATTTTTTCTTTCTTTTTTGCTTCGACTAAACTTTGTTTGGTTCTATTTTGCAGTTCTCAGTTCTCCTGTAATAGATTCAGCGGAGATAAATTGTGAAGAAACCAAACCACCGACGGACAGCCATCCCCTCACTCCTCTACTCCTACGGTGTTCCTCCCTCGATCTCCAAGCCCCCTTTCTTCTTTCTTCTTCAGCCTGATATCCAGAAGCTTCCACTCTCTCCGTCACCTAACCAGCCATCACACCAAAATATCCGGCCTCTAACTTTTAGTCGTTCTCCAGGCAGATTCATAAGTCCAACCGTTACTCAGTCTGGTTAATATTTTCATTAATTTAACAACGTGACAATATTAAAACAATAATTTTATTTTTTTAATTTAAAAATTATTATATTATATAAATTAATATTTTTCATTTTTAATTTTTTTTTCTATTAAAAAATAACTCTGCTTTTGGCTCTTGTTAGATCTAGGTTCGGCCAAGGAGTGCCAACTCTGGCTCCGGTCGGATCTCGCTTCCTTACGGTCCACTCTCCCCCCACCCCCGTGCTATCTTGGGAACACAGATCTCGCGCACTCATCTGCTGGGGCGCGGGGTGGTCGGTTGACGACGTAAGGGGAGCGTATCTGACTGGCTTGAAAAAAAGAGGAAAATAGTAAAAAGGAAAAGAGAAAGAACAAAGGGACAATTTTGACATTTCATATTTATTCAGTAAATTTATTTAATGAAAAAGGATTGTTTATTTTAAAAATTAATAAATTGACATGTAATTATAATTAAAAATTAAAAATAAAAATATTTTATCCAAAATTAAATAAATATCTTCTTCACTTTATAATTTAATTATTAATAAAAGTCATTAATAAATTATATGTATAATATATATATAATTGAGTTTAAAATATTGAGTATAGGATATTATTGGAATATTTATACAATCATATTTCAAGTATCGCGTATTTATAGAGTGATATTTATACTTTATTTAAATTTTTGATGGAACTTATTTTAAATCTAAATAAAATTTGAACTTCGTGTATAATCAAATCGGCTATTCATACATATCAGGATAAAAGATACCCGTTGGTATCCTTTGTTCTGTTGTTTTAAACTAGTACGAACAATTCTTAATGACTGTGTTTAATGGCTCAATTTTCTTTTCTGTTATTCATTTTATTTTACAATAAAACAGTAACATGAATTAAAACAAAAAGTAAGGAAATGGTCCAGGTGGCAGAGAACAGCTGATTACATCTGTTGAATGTCAAAAGTGTTTAATTGATACTCTGGGATCGTAGTGTGATCGTACTGAGAGAGCCTTCCCGTTATGGGGCAAAGCTGTTTCAGCCGTTTTCAGTGTTAAAACCCATGTGCCTCTCTTCATTATGGGAGGCTACGGTACGGCAAGGGAAGGCAACAACCTTCCTCCTTGCTGCTCTCACCATGTTTTTCACCCTCTGGCCTCATGTTGTAGATAGAGTAACATAGCTCAAATCTTAGGTTTCCATCTAAAACCCATATTACCATGCTACTTGAACTCCTTAATTAAGTTCATTAACATAGTGACAGCTGAAAACAGGGGAATCTGGTGAATAGATGAAATGAAGGGAAAAAAGAAAAAAAGATCAGTTGTGCTTTCAGAGTTGGAAAAATGAGAAAGCTACATAGGTGCTGTTTAAAGACAATGCTAGGGACACAAGACTGAATTATTTGGTCTTGTTTTGGGATGAACAAAACAAAATTGATCAGTGAATAAGACACTGACTGAAGGCTATGCTTCTGACAATCTAACTCTACCATCAAACAGTTTCTTTAGTGCGAATTCCAAAAGAAAAGAGAGAGAGAGAGAGAGAGAGAGAGAGAGAGGGAGAGAGAATCATCATACTCCTAAAGAATTGGTACAAAACTGTAAAACAGAAGTTTGGGTTATGGAAGGGGAACATTAAACAATATGAATTCTAGGCCCTTTTAGAAGCCTTAGTTTTTGCATTGGAAGAAGAATACTTACCAAATGCACAGTAATCATGACCTAAATTGTGGTCATTTAAGACAAAAAGAACTCTCTTAAGAAACCAGCCAACCCTGCAAAGGCAAAGCCATGTGAATGTCCTCACAGCCCATCACCCCTCACTTTCCTGCCTTTTCACTGATTACATTTTCCTTTGAGATTTTGGGTTGGCTCCAAAATAATAGCACTACACTCAAAAGCTTTGATTGCTTTTAAAGTTTTCAAATTTCCCATTTTTTTTTATTTAAAAAAACGCGGTAATGAATGATTAGCACTTGGTAATATTCTTTCTGGACATGATCACAAAAGTTCTTAATATAATTGCAACAAAGTCTAAATAGACAGCTGCACTTGAACATTTAATTCAGTAGTTGGTGCATAATTCTTT